GGATTAATGGTAGCAACTTGTGCCACATCCTGAGATAATGTATAGAATAACATTGGAAATCATGGACTTTATAGACACGTACACCCCAAATCACATATCAATTTAAAAAACCTTTTTTTTTTTTAATTGTCATAAAGATAAAAGAACAACAATCCATAAAAGACATTTGTCACATAAATCACAAAATACGGTACCCTAAACAACTGGAATTGGTTATCCCCTGCAATCACAATACCAGTATGGTACCCCAAGGGGCCACCAATATCTGTAGTGCTTGTTTCTTCCCAGATGGGGGATTTTATCATTTCATTTTAATTTCCTGATGTGCCCCTTGTTCAGATACCAGTACTTCTTTGCTTCTCCTGGTTATACTCAATTTGCTGTAGTAAAGAACAAAAGAAAAGAGCGCACCAACCTTGTGCATTACCTCAGTAAACAGTTCATGCATTTATTAATAAATTATACTCACAAGAGTAGTAGTAAAAAAAGGCATATAATATCCATAGCCAACACAGGGTTAAAAGTCACGTGCAAGTTCCATCCGGAAGGAAATAACTTATCAGCTCCTCCTGTGCGCACAGCAGCTCTGAGGAAGAAGGGATCACCCTTCAAAACGTGTTAGTTTGACCAAGAGTTATCTCCCTTCCGCATGGAACTCGCAGATGACTTTTAACCCTGTATTGGCTATAGATATTATATGCCTTTTGTACTGCTACTCTTGTGAGTATAATTTATTAATAAATACATGAACTGTTTACTGAGGTAATGCGCAAGGTTGGTGCGCTCTTTTCTTTTGTTCTTTACTACAGTCTATATCAAGCTTCCCCAGCTTTGTGATAGAGCTGCACAACCTTTGATCAGTATTGGATGAACATACTTTTTCATTGGATTAATCTTCCTCTGATCTGAGCCCCTGAGCGCAGGAGGTGGTGGATGTGTATACTCAATTTGCAACTGGTATTTTACATTGTAAGTAAAAATAGTTGTTTTAGAGATAATTGCTTACCTGGAATGGATAAACATATGGTAATAAATTGTGTTTTCCACTCCTTTATATAGATGCAGCAATTTAGCTCCTGAGGAAGTGATATTTTGTTGCAAAACATGTAGAGCAAGCTACAATTGAAATTAGAAAATCCCCCATCTGGGAAGAAACAAGCACTACAAATACTGGTGGCCTTTTGGGTACCATACTGGTATTGTGATTGTGATTTATGTGGCAAATGTCTTTATGGATTGTTCTCTTTTTTTAAAAAAAATGTAATAAAAGAAAGTTTTAATGACATGATTTGGGGTGTATGTGCCTATAAAGTCCATGATTTCCAACTGTATTCTATACATATTTTGCATGAAACTGGAATTAGATCTCACTTCATTGTTAGTATCATACGAGCTTATTCCAGATATTTGTAATGAACTTAGTTGTAATGGTTGTGCATACTAGGAACAGGAATAGCTGCCTGTATAGCAGCCATTTTGTCCAAAAGTGTCCTATGCCCTTTCTTCAAGAGAACACATAGCACCGTGACCTTTCCCCCTCCATCCTTCAGTTTATACAAAACACAACTTAACTGATGCCAGGACCTGGTTATCAATCCATTGATCAAACACCCAGACCTCTCCATTACCCAATCCACAATTTCAGCATGGAAACCCTCATAAAACAGTCACCTTCTGAGCTTGAGCAATCCAGAGAACTAACAGATATCCGATGGTAAATAGTTTAGCTGATGGGAATAGCAAATCCACACTTCTGCAAGAATGGTTAGCAGCCAAGACTCAAACTGCAGAATATTTTGTAACTCATGAAATGACAGCACAGCCAGAATATACACTGTGTTCACAATTATTATTGAGCAAGTGAGTATTTTGGCCAAATCATCATTTTTATGCATATTGTCCAACTCCAAGCTGTATAAACTTGAATGCTTATTGGATTTAAGCATATCAGGTGATGTGTATTTGTGTAATGAAGGAGGTTGAGGCCTAAGGAGATCAACACAAGTTGTCCATAATTATTAGGCAGCTTCTTTTCTTCAGGCAAATTGGGCCAAAAAAAGATATAAACGAAAGACGTTTTTCAATTCTTGACTTTTCAGAGTCAAAGGGATGCAGCACTATTGCAATTTCTAAGATATTGGGGTGTGATCACAGAACCAAGCATTTTGTTGCAAATAATCAACAGGGCCGCAAGAGACGTGTTGAGAAAAAAAAAAGCCGCAAATTGCAAAAGAAGTGCTCAGAGACATGGCCAAGGTAAGGAAGGCTGAAACCTGACTTTTATTACAGTAATAATGCCAGCCCATACCAGAACCCCACCTCCACTTTGCTGGCACCTGAGTCGAAGTGGAGCTTTGTACCCATTACTGAACCAGTCACGGGCCCATCCATCTGGTCTGTCAAGAGTAATTCTCATCATATCAGTCCATAAAACCTTTGAAAAATCGGTCTTCAGATATTTCTTGGCCCAGTCTTAACATTTCAACTTTTGTGCCTTGTTCAGTGGTTGTCAGGTTTCAGCCTTCCTTACGTTGGCCATGTCTCTGAGCACTAAACACCTTGTACTTCTGGACACTCCAGGTAGGTTGCAGTTCTGGAATATGACAGCATTGGAGGATAATGTGTTCCTGGTAGCTTCATGTTTGATTCTTCTCAAATCTTTGGCAGTTAATTTGCATCTATTTCTCAACACGTTTCATTCGACCCTTTTGACCATTTGCAACAAAACATTTGATGGCTCTGTGATCACGCCCCATTATCTCGGCAATTTCAAAAGTGCTGCATCCCTCTGAAAGACTTTTTACAATTTTTGACTCTTCAGAGTCAGTTAAGTATCGTTTTTGGCCCATTTTGCCTGAGGAAAAGAAGTTGCCTAATAATTATGCACACCTTGATATGGGGTGTTGATCTCCTTAGGCCACACCCTTCATTACACATACTCACATCACCTGATATGCTTAAATCTAATAGGCGTTCAAGTTAGACAATATGCATAAAAATGATGATTTGGTCAAAAAACTCACTTGCCTAATAATTGTGCACACAGTGTAGACACATTTACCTCAAATAATATAACAGTGCCACACTTTCCTCACAACATCAATATAAACAATACAAATGTGACTCAAGTTCTCCAAAAAACTTTAATGTGCCATTTAATAAGTCCCAATTATTCAATAAGTTGTCCTTAACATTTCTTTTTTAAAATCACCATATGCATACTTCTTTCGCAATACTGCTACTCCGTGTCTTCTTAATCTTAACATGTGTACCTGCTCCACCACTGATCACACCCAGATGTGCCCTCACCTGGAGTTTTTGACCTCATGTAAAAGCTCTGTCATTGGACAAAAAAATGCTTGCTTTCCCTTAGGATGGACCTAAAATAATGTCTCTTGGATTGGAGTCTTCCTTCACTGATGGAACAGCCTCCTTCTTACAAATCCCCCTGCTCAGCATATGTATGTATTCTAGCTTAAACACAAAACAGCTACCAAGAATACAGAGCTCTCAGCATGGTCTGAATATTATAACTATATAACACACACACACACACATACATATAAAGCAATAAAGCGAGAATATATTTTCTTTTAAAAATAGTCGCAGTTGCAACATTTTGTGTCTATTGAACCCAGTCTCACCCAGTTCTATGCATAAAAGACCCCATTTGAGGAATTGCAGGTAGCCTGTCTTTTGGTCATAATGATATCTTACACTGACTACAAAACCTGCTTAAATCTATTGTCTCACTTTGGATTTGGAAAAAGAATTTATCTGAACAGACATTATTGTGGCTCCTTTCCTGCCTCTTAGACATGATTCTTTCCATTGTTTTAAACATTTACAGAAATTTAAAAGAAGGATAAAAACCACTTATAAATAAGCAGTATATGCTATAAAATATTTAAACTGGAAGATCAAGGCTATGGATGAGCAAGGCAGGAGCAGATACCGCTCTGAATAGCATAAAACATTTTATGTGAACATCATCAATAAATTAAATTACAGCTGTCTCGTTGATTTCCATTCTCTGAAATTGTTAAAAGACTTTTCTCTCTTATCTTTCCTTTAGGAAATCACGGCTAATATATCTTTGCCTTCAGATAATCGTGCTGGAGAACAGAAAATAAAATCCTGATATACTGCCTGCAAAGCCATAACTAATTTTTCAATTACAGAGTCTGAAGCTTCAGAAACAGTCCAAAGATGCAAACCAACTTTTCAAAGATCATTTTATAAGGCTCCATTGTCTTCCTTCTCTGCTAACTAAATCGAGGCATAAATAGTTCATGTTATTTGTAATATATTTCACTGAGCAGATCAGCGCCAAGCACAAACAAAATACAATGATGTACAATTGCCAGTTAGTTCATGGAATAGATATTTTGGCAACAGTAAAAAAAAAATGAATGCACATACCCAGGCTTTGGTAAAATACACCCAAAATTGAATTCTACTTTTTAGAGTGTAAAATTCCTTTACAACGAACAGTCCACCCAAATGTCATTTTTAGTCATACATGAAGCCTAGTGAGTTGAGTTAGCTGCAGACCCCTTGTATGTCTTGGATTCTTCAACATTGAGAGCTCTTTACAGTAATTCCTCCCTACTGCTGCCAGACCTAAAGGTTTGGGGTTTTCCTCCCTACTTTGCCATGTCTCAACTTCTTCCATTAGAATAAAATGAAAAAAAAACCTCAGAGATAGTGGAATCCCTTAACACTAGCTTCACACCTATGCGCTTGCTACGGCTCATGTTTGCGCAGGCACAGCAGCCCCATGATTTGAATTGGTTGCTGGAACTGCAAGTAACAGGAAAAAAAGAGTCCTTCACCTTTTTAAAAATACAATCAAGCACAGATATCTCAACAATGGAGTTCGTAAGAGAAATAAGATATTGTGGTATATTTTTCTATCATCTACTAAAATCTGGGTTGACAGACCATTTAAACTGGATTGATCTTTAATACTTGTAAGCAGCAATTCTTAAAACACATACCATCAGTATCTGAGTGAATGACATCCACAAATTGTGCATCCGTATGGTGCAATCGGTCCTCAGGAGGCTTCCCATTGAATAATGGACCAGCTGGATCCAGGCCTAGAAAATGATGCAAGAAAATTAAAACAGTGACACTTGACTCTTTACTCCTACTCCTGATCCACGTCAATCCAGATTCTCTCCAGATCACTCCAATATTTTGCACATGTATTAAATCAACTGCTTTATTCATTCATTCTTCTATAGTGCCGCTAATTTACAAGGCACTTATACATTGTACAGTCCCTAACCCTCAAGGAGCTTACAATATAAGGTCCCTAGCTCACATTCATACACACACTAGGGCCAATTTAACCACTTGCCTACCAGGCACTTTTACCCCCTTCCTACCCAAGCCAATTTTCACCTTTAAGCGCAGTCACACTTTGAATGACAATTACGCAGTCATGCAATACTGTACTCATATGAAATTTTTATAATTTTTTTCACGCAAATAAAGCTTTCTTTTGGTGGTATTTAATCACCACTGAGTTTATCTTTTGCACTATAAATGAGAAAAGACCAAAAATGTTTAAAGAAAAAAAGTAGTGTTTTTCTTAGTTTCGGTTATAAATTTTGCAAATAAAATAATCTTTCTACTCAAATTTAGGCCAAAATTTATTCTGCTACATTTCTTTGGTGAAAATAACCCAAATCAGTGTTTATTATTTGGTGCTTAGGAAAGTTATAGAGTCCATAAACCATGGTATATACATCTAAAAATCAATAAATCCTGATGTACTGATGGCCTATCTCATTTCTTGAGACCCAAAAATGCCAGGACAGTACTAATACCCCCCCCCCCCCCCCAAATGACTGCTTTTCAGAAAGTAGACAGTCTGAGGTATTTGGTAAGAGGCATGAGAAGTTTTTTGAAGTTGTCATTTTTTGTCAAAATTTGTGGAAAATAAAGAAATTAAAAGAAAAATTTCACATCATATAACTGGTGCAGCATTGATCAGGGACACTGACTGGCAACAGTATATTTAAAAAAAAAGATGTAGTTCAATTTCTCTTAATGATTTTTTTTCTACTCGTGTGACCAGAGCAATACAATGTTACCATAATAACATTGTACTAGAATACCATGTCCTACTCTGAGCAAGTGATCAGGTTTTTTTTTTTTCACATTGTGATTGCTTATTCCAATGAATTTCATTTGTATAATCAAGCTTTTTTACTGAATGAAACCAAATCATTTAGTAGTTTTTGTTGTGATCAGCTGTGATTGGTCACAGCTGATCACATGCTACAGATGGGCTGTGATTGGCAGTAGTGGTGGGGTCACATGAGAGCTTAGAGTTGGAAACTCACATGTCATTTGATCATATTAGTGTTATTTGACCATCCAGTATGGAGTCAACATCTTTTGTTGAGTGGGAAAATCATTTATTACTCACAAGTGGTGGAAAAGAATCTATTAGATCAATGCGATACCCTCCTATAGGACTCTCATCCATTCACATTTTCTGGACTTTTAGGATACCCTATATAAGATTAACTATTATAGGTGGTGTTGCGAGAGCACTTTATGTATACTTATATTTCAACTTTTATGTTTTATGACACATATGTATATACTAAAATCATATTGAGCAAGCGCCTGTTTAATTATGGTTTTAAAATCCCTGCCATCATGTCTTTGGGGTGTGGGAGGACACCAGAGTACCAGAATGGAACCCATGCAAGCACAGGGAGAACATGAAAACTCTCCACAGGTAGTGTCATGGTTGGGATTTGAAATGGCAACCCTAGTGCTAACCACTTAGCCACTGTGCTGCCCTTATAAGTGCCCTTAGAAGGGTTTTACCAGACTATACTACCGGCTAGAGGACTAACGGTTGGACAATCACCACTGGTTCGGATGTCCAGATATCTGAATCAGCAACCACTAGGAAGAAAAATTCTTTCATTCTCTATTCAACTTGTGTTATGGCTCGAATTGCTTCCCAAGCAACACATCAGAAGATTTAATTATAGAATCTACATAATTACCCCAATATTAAAATTACTTTACAAACAAGATCCAAAATTCTGCATTAATTTGTTGAACATTATCACATCCATTACTTTACGAAAAAACTAATATTGAAGAGAGTCCAAGACAAAAAGATAATGATTACCAGTTATACGGTTGATGGAACCATTGTACATTTTTCCAACATATCCAGAAATGTGTGCACCAAGGCTGACACCTATCATATAGATTAGGTCTAAAGATCCTCCTTGATCCTGGAAAAAAAAAAAAGAAATCAATAATTGCTAGTTGCATCCAGTAAAATCACTACTGCTTAACAAAGGGCTTTCACTGAATGTATAAATCCACTTCCATTACAAAAGTGCAGATTAGTGGATAACATTTTTTTTCACCCATTTAACTTTATTTTTGTATTAAGTGTTTTACTGTGTAGACGGTCTCCAAGAGTATCAAGATCACACCTACACTTTTATGAAGGGTCTAACTTGTTTTAAAACTGCTGCAAGTTACAATTGTACAGTGTTTTTTGTAGTTCGTGGAAGGGAATTGTGTTGTTTTAGGTATGTGCAATTGCATTAAACTACTTTTTAGACCATTGGGGCCCCTTGTATTCAAGGGCCAGTTTATGGAAAAGGTGACGTTAGCTTTTAGGAGTGTGTTAAAATAACCTGCAAATTTCTTTTAGTTGTATCCCTTTCTTTTTCCTGATAAAATGGAAAAAAAAAAGAAAGGAAAGACTTTCTGGGAAAATCACAGAGGTTTCCTATGACCCACATTTATTAAAGCAGTTGAGCTCTGTTTTCAAATGTCACACCATGCAAATGTGATCAAATCAATCACAGTTCATAGTCCACATTTTGCAGATGAACGCTAAGGAGTGCCGCAGCACTGAGTAAATGTCTTCCAGTCACTGTGCTTTTCTTGCAAGTGTTATGGACTAGATTACAGCAGAATTAACACAGCAATTTGTAACATAATTGAAGCAGTTTTAAACCTAAAGGAAACATGCATTATATTGCAACTTAAAAATTCTTAGATGTGATGCCTGCATTAGTTTGTTTTCTAATATTTTTTGATCTGGTGATCTTGTCAGTAAGTCTATTATTTTTCAAAAGAACAAGCTCTCATCCAGATGTATCAATTTGTACAAATGAGACAAACCATTTAAAGGCCCCTTTTACATGGGGCAAACTCCGCTTTGCTCAGCAGGGGATCTATCAGTTGATCCAGGAATGGGACACAAAATAGGCCAATTTAGCCAATTTTTTCCAGAGTGCAAGGGCGTTCGCGGGGCAGTTGGTGATGGAATATTAATGGAGTCAGTCCTCCGCACTGTAATGTATTGATTACAGTGCCCCTTTACAGTGCAGTCCCCTTTATATCATAGTGCCCCTTTACATTACAGCGCCCCTAGAGATCTAATCACAGTGCCCCCTATATATTCAAAGAGATGGCTCAGTCCAGCAAAGTGACATCCCCATATAGCAAAGAGACAGCCCGCCCAGCAAAGAGACAGCCCAATCCACCGCTGAGCTGTAACAGTGTGGATGAAGGAGAGAGGCCGCCGTTGTCCCTTAAGTGTGGCTGTGTGCAGTGGCTGGGGAGGTGTCTGTGTGTCCTCAGCGGTGCTTCCTGCCTGTCGCTGGAGCCATCACTGCTGCTCCTCCTGTCAGCCCCGCTTTGGGCATAGATGCACAGCGGGAGGTGAGCGATGGCCGCAGTATGTGTTAGCCCTGTCCAGGCCGCAGTCGCCGCTTGCTTCCTGCTGTGCGGCCCAGTCATCAACAGGCTGCTCTTCTTAAGCCCAGTGGCCCTGGCCCACAGGAAAAATGCCCGGTGTGCCCTATGGCCAGTCCACGCCTGAGTTGATCCCCTGCTGAACAGGAGTAGAGCAGGCACATGAAAGGTCTGTGTGTGCTCCATTTCAGACAGGCGGAGATGGCTGTCTGTTTACACCTGACTGCCCTCCAATCCGATCCACCTAGACAGAAAGTGAATGGATCCCCCTCCGTTTCTTTTTAGCGGATTGGAGGTAGGTTGGTGTAAAATGGACACGACACAGCATGGGGAAAAAAAAAAAAAAAAAAAAAAAAAAAAAAAAGATATACTACTTTTTGACCCCAGAAACCTATATTTAATTATCTGTGGCAACAATTATTATTGGTGCCTAATGGTGCTGTAATTCTTACACTACACACACTTCCTATCTATGGTCCACTGGTGCTAGATATCACTTGCTTTCTCATTATTCTTTGTCTTTTTTTCTTCCGCTTTTTTGTAGGTACAATACTTATATAGTGGAGTTTTTTTTTTTTTTTTTTGTTTTTTTTTTGTTCTTCTGTGCTGTGCACTTGTTGGATCTGTTTTACTACTCATGTTTTTGTCTCACAGGTCTAATGGTTTGTTTTTGGTGGGAATTTGTGTCTTCCGATTCCATCTATACAATATTAGGTGCTGCTCCTTGGTTTTTCTACCTGGGTGCCATGGTTTCCTACCACAACTCCAGCATCAGACACCTTGCAGCGGTTGCCAATTGGAGGTGTTATTTTTAGATTTTAGATCATTTATCAAGCTGAGTTGTCAGTACTGTTATATCAAGGACATCAGTATGCATACAGGTGAAACTCAAAAAATTAGAATATCGTGCAGAAGTTCATTTATTTCAGTAATGCAACTTAAAAGGTGAAACTAATATATGAGATAGACTCATTACATGCAAAGAAAGATAGTTCAAACCGTGATTTGTGATAATTGTGATGATTATGGCTTACAGCTCATGAAAACCCCAAATCCACAATCTCAGAAAATTTGAATATTGTGAAAAGGTGCAATATTCTAGGCTCAAAGTGTCCCACTCTAATCAGCTAATTAAGCCATACACCTGCAAAGGGTTCCTGAGCCATTAAATGGTCTCTCAGTCTGGTTCAGTAGGAATCACAATCATGGGAAAGACTGCTGACCTGACAGTTGTGCAGAAAACCATCATTGACGCCTCCATAAGGAGGGAAAGCCTCAAAAGGTAATTGCAAAAGAAGTTGGATGTTCCCAAAGTGCTGTATCAAAGCACATTAATAGAAAGTTATGTGGAAGGGAAAAGTGTGGAAGAAAAAGGTGCACAAGCAGCAGGGATGACCGCAGCCTGCAGAGGATTGTCAGGAAAAGGCCATTCAAAGGTGTTGGGGACATTCACAAGGAGTGGACTGAGGCTGGGGTCAGTGTATCAAGAACAACCACACACAGACGGATCCTGGACATGGGCTTGAAATGTCATATTCCTCTTGTCAAGCCACTCCTGAACAACAAACAACGTCAGAAGCATCTTACCTGGGCTAAAGAAAAACACACCTGGTCAGTTGCTCAGTGGTCCAAAGTCCTCTTTTCTGATGAGAGCAACTTTTGCATCTCATTTGGAAACCAAGAACCCATAGCATGGAGGAAGAATGGAGAGGCACACACTGCAAGATGCTTGAAGTCCAGTGTGAAGTTTCCACAGTCTGTGTTGATTTGGGGAGCCATGTCATCTGCTGGTGTTGGTCCACTGTGCTTCATTAAGTCCAGGGTCAACGCAGCCGTCTACTAGGAGATTTTGGAGCACTTCATGCTTCCTTCCACAGACAAGCTTTATGGGGATGCTGACTTCATTTTCCAGCAGGACTTGGCACCTGCCCACACTGCCAAAAGCACCAAAACCTGGTTCAATGACCGTGGGATTACTGTGCTTGAATGGCCAGCAAACTCGAGAATCTATGGGGCATTGCCAAGAGAAAGATGAGAGACATGAGACGAACACTGCAGAAGAGCTGAAGGCCGCTATTGAAGCATCCTGGTCTTCCATAACACCTCAGCAGTGCCACAGGCTGATAGCTTCCATGCCACACATGGAAGTAGTGGCAGTAATTGCTGCAAAAGGGGCCCAAACCAAGTACTGAGTACATATGCATGCTTATACTTTTCAGAGGTCCGATATTGTTCCATGTATAATTCTTGTTTTATGGATTGCATGTAATATTCTAATTATCTGAGATTGTGAATTTGGGGTTTTCATGAACTGTAAGCCATAATCATCACAATTATGACAAATCACAGCTTGAACTATCTTGCTTTGCATGTAATGAGTCTATCTCATATATTAGTTTCACCTTTTAAGTTGCATTACTGAAATAATGAACTTTTGGACGATATTCTAATTTTTCGAGTTTCACCTGTAGATATTGCATTCCCTCTTTTTTAGGGAGTGATGGAATGCACTCTGTGAATCTGTTTTTTGGTTTACAGATTTTACATCGGGGGCATCTACTCCTGAAGAAGTGAAGCAACATTCAAGGAGTGCATTGATTTATAGGCTGCACCGATTATGTTTCAGACATTTGGCAGTGTGGAACAAGTTATTTGAATTACTATATGAATATGATGAAAGCAGTATGCTCATATACGCTAGAGTTAAAGAATCAGCTTGCCATCTTAACTAACTCTTCTATCCATTGAGTAATAAATTTACATTTTTTAATAGAAATGTTATGCCTCATTTAAAGTCCCATGGTAAAATGTTTTGTGTATGATACATCGAGACCCCCCCCCCCCAAAAAAAAATGGCAATGCTGCTGTCTGTGTCCCCTGTGCTCCTTCATCCAGAATACAGGAGGTGTATTACTGGCTCAAATAACTAGGTCAAAACAGGGGAATAAGCCTAAAAAAAGAGAAAATAGATGCAGCCACCAAATCTAATGATTGGTAAGCTGCAATATAAATACATTTTGGTTTGGGGTTTTAACACTGCTTTAAGGGATGGAACTGATGCACCTTTATTGACAAATGTCCAACGCAGAATGACCAATGAGGAGAAATAGGTCACACTCATTCACACATCAGAACTCCAGCCAAACTGTTGAGCACAAAGTTGATATACCGTATGGTTTTACCAGCCAAAATGTTTTTGATTAATCTACATCCAGATTCTATAAACCTGAAAAAAATATTGTATATGTAATACTGTGTCATTAACATCATGCCAGCCACCAGAAAGATTGTGCCAGCCAAAAGGCTCATGTACATGTGCATAAATGTGCACGTTTGTAGGCATACGAACCTAACTAAACGCGCGGCAATGCGAATACGTATGTGCATGGGTAAGCACACACCAGAGTGCACGTGAACGAATAGACACCAGATACTGCCGCCTAGCGGACTATTTAAACCCAAGTTCTATAAGGGATCATTGCTGAATAGCCTCAGTCTGAGTTTTTGCTATTCCGGA